ATTATTCCAGTCGTTCTGAACACCCCACCATGGGTGATGTATTGGGACACGCAACGCGCTTCGTATTGCGTGCGCACCCGCGTGCGCAAAACGAACACCCACGAGGAATGGCCACCATCACTTCTAAAACTGGAATGTGGAAACCAATTGTTTCACTCGTATCGAATGGCCTTCGGCGCATCCTGCCACCATGCCTGCGTTGTGGAAATGAAGCCTGTTGGATGTTCGTTGGGACATCGTCGGGGGCTTTTCGGGTGCCTCTTGGAGGCACTTGGGAGGCCTCTTCGGGGCCTCTTGGGGCCTCTGTTGGGCCTCGTCGGCGCCGCGTCGGGCGCAAGCGGGCCCCTGGATGGGCCAAGAGGGCCCCGCGAGGCCCGCAAGACAGTCCAAGAGGGCCCCATGTCGCCGAAACACCGTTCCAGGACGCCCATGGTGGCCTCAGGATGGCCCCAGAAGCCTCCAGGGCGCCCCAAGACGCCTCCCAGAAGCCTGCCATGCGGGAAGATGACCTGGAACCCGGGAGGGCTCGCGGAAAGCCCAAAGAGATTTGAGAATTTGGGAACCGGGCTTTCAAGGAACTCTTCAGGATTGCGTATTGAGGCTCAACAAGGATGAGGCAAAGGACCTGAGGACACGCCCACTCCGCGGACAGCGGCATGGAGGCGAATATATAATTTCCAGATTATGTTCGGAAGCTGAAGAATGAAAACCAATTGTTTCAATCATGTTCTGATGGCTTCAACGTGGTGTAATGTATTGTGGCACTGCGCAGTTTCCTCATCGCCCGCGCGCAATATTAAAACAAGTACAGGTAAAGAGTGGTCATTTCCACCTTGGAAACTGAGTTGTGAAAGCCAACTGTGGCACTTGTGCCCCAATGTAGAAACATGTATATCGCGCGAGCGCGCGTGCGCTCGCTCTCGCGTGCGCAGCGCACATATATATATATATACACATACATACATACATACATACATACACTGGCCATCGTATTGTTGAGAACTATTTGAGGACAACCAGTTGTTCCACTCTTTATCATGAGCCCCTTCAGCGTGGCATAGTTGTGGTTTTGCGCATGTTCCTCCTTGCACGCGCGCTCGCGCGCTCGCTTCCGTGTGAGCAAAAAATAAACACATGAAGAATTGCCATCTTCACCTCGAGCACCGAATGGTGAAAACTAATTATTTCACTGATTCGCTGAGGGATTTAAAGCTGGATGGTCCTCTTGCCTGCGCGCGCGCGATCGCACTCGCGCGCGCAATACAAAAACAATACATAATGGCAACTTGAAATTTCATAACTGAACGGTGAGCGCCGATGAATTGGTATTCTGAGGGCCTCAACGTGGAGTGGAGGACTGCGACAAGGCGTGGATTCCTCATTGCCTGTGCGCGCAATGCATGCTTCCACGTTGCGGCGCCCAGACTACGAGTGGAAACGCTGGGTGACACAATTCGGTGTTCGATGTTGGGGATGCTATTAGTTGTTGGTTGCTGTATCGCGCACGCGGGAGCGAGCGTACGCGCGCTCGGGCAATGGGGGACATGCGCAGCGGCATAAGACACGATTCCATATTGATGCACCTTTCAGTTTCCAATGTTAAGTTGCCATTCGCTGTCGGTTTTTCTAGTGCGCACGCGAGAGCCGAGCGCAAGCGCGCACGCGCGCGTGCGCGCGCGGGCAAGGAGGAAAACGCGCACTGCTACAATGCATTATTCCGCGCTGAGCCATCCAGAATACGAGCGAAACAATTCCGGCTCCCACCATGGATTTCCACAGTTCAGATGTGATTTTCCCATGTGTTTTGTATTGCGCACGCGAGGGCGCGCGCTCGCACGAGCAATGAGGAACGTACACAGTGTCGCAATGCATTAGTCGATGCGGAGACCTCCAGAATACGAGCGGAACAATTTGTTTTCACTGTTCGTTTCTCGAGGCTGGGATGGCCAGTGGCTGTAGGTTGTTATGGCGCGCGCGCGAGGGCGCGCTCGCGCTCGCGCGGGCAAGAAGGAACGCGCATGGCGTCACAATACACTGTTTCGCGCCGGGGCCTCCCTAATTCTGAGCAAACTCGCCTCCATCCGCGAAGCTCTGGCAAACGTTTACATGCGCGGCGCTGAAGCGCGAACCGTGTTCTGAGAAGGGCCCGCCTTCCATTTGTAAAACCCATTCAAACCTCTGTGGCGAAAGCGCGCGGCGCTAAGGCGAGAACCGCAGTTTGAAAATGAGGCAACCCTTCCATCCGTGGAGCTCGCGCAATCGTGTGAGGCGAATGTGCGCAGCACTGCGCGAGGGCCGCATTCTGAAAAAGACCCGCCTTCCACCAGCGCAGCTCTCGCAAAGTTTGAGAACGATCGTGCTCGGCGTTCCGGCGAGAGCCACATTTTGAAGAGGACCCGCCATCCGTTCGTGGCAGTCCAGCACATGTTGAAGACGTATGCGCGCACCGTTGAGGCGAGAACCATATCTTGAAGAAGTACCCGCCCTCCATGTGTGAATCTCTTGCAAATTTTGACGACGAACGTGCGCGACGCGGCTGTGATAGCCAAGTTATAAAAAAGGCCCGCCCTGTATCCGTGAAATTGGTGTAAGTTTCAAAACGAATGCGCGCGGCGCTGAGGCGAAGGCCACAGCTTGTGGAGAACCCGCACTCGACCTGTGCAACCTCTCATATGTTCGAAACGGCTGCGTATCAGCGCTAGGGGAAAGGCCCATGTTGAAAGAGGACCGCCGTCCATCTGCGAAGCTCTTGCAAACTCAGGGCGAGTGCGAGCGGCGCGGGGGCGAGAAGCGCACTTCCAAAAGGAGTCGCCTTCCATCCGCGAAGCTCTTGCAAACTTTCACGACGAATGTGCGCGGTGCTGAGGCGAACGCCGCATTCTGACGAGGACCCGCCCTCAATCCGTGGAACCCTCTCGAACGTTCGGCACGAGAGCGCGCGGCGCTCACTCGAGAGCCACGCTCTGACAAGGACCCGCCCTCCATCCATGAAGTTCTTGCGCCGTCCCCTCACTCAGCGTCAGAGGTTGTCAGCCACCTGTGTTTCCTTCTACCTGAGTCCATCGCGGTTGAAACGAAGAAAACACAATTTCTATAGCACGTATGCGCGCGTCGTTAGGGCAATAGCCACACTCCGAACAGAACCCGCCTTCCATCCGCACGACGTTTGAAGGTGCTTGAAGACTAATTTTGCGCGACGCGAAGGCGATTAGCCACATTTTTGGAAAAAGGGTCCGCCCTCCACTGTACGGATTCCTGCAGCGTTTGAAGACGAATGTGCGCGGCGCGAAGGCGATAACCACATTCTGAAAAGGGACCCGCCCTGCGTCCACTTTCGACCAATGTGCGCGCACTACGGCGATAGTCGAATTCAGACAAGGGCCCGCCTCCGTTCGTGAGGCTGTTGCAAAGCTTTAAGACGAATGTGTGCGGCGCTGGCGCTGAGGCGAGAGCCTCATTTTCGCCGGTACGGGGGGGGATCATTTCCAGGAGCGGCATTGATGTTCGCCAGAAAAGGGGGGTCGATAATTGCTGCCCGAGGTTCATACTTGGAATTGCCCAGCTTTCATATCAGAAGTTTGGACCGGCCCAGCAGAGAACGCCCGACATGCACTGCCGACGCGTCTGGCGGTAAGGACGAGAGCCAACAAGATGCTATGGGAGGCCCCCATGAGTTGCCACAGGATTTTCTTCACGTGAATGAGTTTCAGGGTCGTCTCGTGGTCGCTCATCGGAATTGCGATGCGCGCGCCGACGTTTCTTCTCTGGCGCCCGCAGCCGAATATTCACGCGCGGTCCATGATACAGTCAAGGCGTTGGAAGGAGGGCCCTCTTGGGCTCAGGAAAAGCTCTGGTTTTCGAGCTGCTCCTTGGAGTTAGGTCGGGAAACCTACTCGTGGTCGGAGCTAGCAACGGCGAGTAAAGCTCTTCGTTCCTTACTCAGGGCTCCCTGTGGTAGACCAACTTTCTCCCGCCACTGCCCGGGAGGCTGCTGGCCTGGCCACGATGAAAAGGAGTAGGAGGAGGAAGAAAAGGAGGAGGAACAGAGCAACATGAGGAGGAGGAGGGGGAGGAGGAGGAGGACGAATCGTGGGCCCAGTGCCACGTGCGTGCCCGTCTTCCCTCCCGCGTCCGTTCTTTGTTTGTCTGTGCTTCCTTCCATCCACGCGTTTCGCATTTGGTTGGAGGCCCGTTGGCCCCCCGTGCCCGCGGTCGGATGCTCTAACGTTAATGGACTGAAATTGTGTTGTTTGTTCATGTTTTTTTGACCGCACCCCCCCCTTTCCATACCTCCAGCGCTTTGATGTTGCCACAGCGTTGACCTCAGGGGTCTTGACCCTTCCCCCAGGACTCGGGGGTGGACAGAACCCCCACATTGACACGTCGATTAGTGAAGTGTCCGTTTTCGGTTCCCGGGGGGGCACCGCGGCCATCATTTTCCAGGCCTGCGCACGCCAGGTTTGGGCCCGAGGTCGTTTTCACTAAACCACGTTTTGCTAAACGGGTGTCTGTCCATCCCCGAAGGACCAGCTATCACTCTTCCTTAGCTGTTTGCTGCTCCTCCCCCGGGCCCGAGGGCCCGGCGGGGGCGCATCTCCAGGCCTGCGCCCGCCAGGTCTGGGCCCGAGGTCGTCTCCACGAAACCACGCTTTGCCAAATAAGTTTGTTCTGTACCTCCCCGAAGGACCGGCTAACGCTCCTCCTCAGCTGTTGTTTGCTCCTCCCCCGGGCCCGAGGGTCCGGCAGGGGCCCACGGAGGCCAGAAAACGAAGCTGCAATCGCGCAGCCGCGTTGACTCTCCATGCTTTCGAGGCCTGGGACTTAAGTTGGGCGCGTCCCTCTACAGGAACATTCAAAACTAATAAAAGAATAATACGGGGACGATTTTTTGATCACTTCTCCAACAATTTGGGGATATTCTATGATTGTTTGTTTCGTCCAAAATCCCCCCGTAGGAGGACACGCCCGACCTAAGCCTGGAACCCTGCTGCCTTACGCAGGCCATTCTGTGCCGACCCTGCGAACATGGTCGGCCTGCACGCCTTCAAGTTCAGCGGCGTGGCCGCCGCGGAGGCCGCGGTGCCGCCCAGTCTCGTGACGGAAAGAATGGGAACGACTACAAGCAGCCCTTTCTTGTCAATTTTGACCAAGGTCTGTTGTTGTTGTCGCCACCGACGGTGCCCGTTTCGGACGAACGTCACCAAAAAGTGATTCTGTCGGTGTTGGACAGCGTCGGTTCTTGGGCATCATGTACATGTTTGTCTGTACCCATTTCGGACAAACCACTTCGAGCCCCATTCCGCGAGAGTGATGGAGTAATCGAGGTTCGCGGGAGGCAAACACCGCCCGTTTATCCGCTCGGGTTCTCGGTCTCTCTCTCTCTCTCTATATCTCTTTTTTCTCCCTGTTCTTAAACAGTTTGTTCGTAAGGGCATATTCTTTGTAACGCCCGGCGAGGGATGCCTGGCCCCAGAAATCGGTTGCCCATCGTAGCCCCCAGCGTGAATTGCGTCAAGTTGGTGAGGGTCTTGCGCCGCAAGGGTGTCACGATTCCCCTTGGCTCCTTGCTTCCGCCCTGCCCCTCTCGCCGTCGCGTTCGCCAGGCAGAATTCCATGTGCCCGGTTTCCGGCCCCACTAATTGGATGTCTGGCTTCGATGGTTCCCAACCCTTTCATCGCCACTTCTGGCAGCAGATGTTCGGACGCCTCGCATACCACAGCTGGTTCGGATATTCTGCCGCAAAGGTGTTGTTGAGGTCGGTGGCAACAGATCATGGGAGTCTCGTATACCCTCTTAATTCTGTCGCGTCGTCTAATCCATGAAATTGCGCCAGTTTGGCGTAATTCCTTGGCGATCAGGGGACTGACCGTGGGGTGGAGAGGAGGGGGGAAGAGGGGAGGGAGCCGGTCACGGTACGATTCGCGCTGGCGCCGTCAGGAAGTGCTTTATAGGAACGCCCAGACGGCGCTGGTGCGACAAGGGGGAGGGGTTTGACTGGGCCAGTCACGGGCGTTATCGCGAATTGTTACAGTTTGAGCTCTAGAAGGCGTGTGGTCGTCCTCCTGCCAGCTGTGGGGGGCTAAGGAGGCCCAGCGTCGGTTTCGCCCAGCAGAGAGGGGAGAGAGAAAGGGGCCCCCTTGGTGCCACGGCTGGGCGCGGCTCGAAGAAAGGGTCGGCGTCGACCCTGGGAGGGGTCCAAGGATCGACTTTGAGCAGATCTGCCCGCGCCCTACCCCTCTTGAGAGATTATCTCGGGGCCCATCTGGCGCAGGCCCCCTAGCTGCTTGTAAAGTCGGAGTTCCCCAGGGACGCACGCGGCCTCGGATTGCGATGTCGTGCCACGTGCTCTTCGTGCCGTGTCGGTTTCCTCGCACGGGCCCGTTCCGATTCGGCTTTCCCATTCGTGTTTCTCGCCCCCATTGGTGGTGGAGGTGGTGATGATGATGAGAAGAAGGAAGAGGAGGAGGAGGAGGAGGAGGAGGGAGACGGAGGAAACGGAGGAGGAGGAGGAGGAGATGAGTATGAATCGGATTGAGCCTGATCAACATGAAGCATCGCTAAACATGAGTCCTGACGCGCTCGAGCTGCACATCCTGGTTGGCGCAGCAGCGTGTAATCTGATGGACCGCTCATAGATGCGATCACTGCCAATGACAGAACTGCTTTACGATTGGGCGGAGGGACCTAGTAACGCGAGGGATGGAGGATGAGGAGCGGTGAGGAGGGAAGGGTGGGCAAGGAGGGAGGAGGGAGGACAGAGCAGAACGAGTGAGAGAGGAGGAAGGAAAGGGCAGGAGGATGGACGAGGGATGGGGCAGCAGAGGAGGGGAGAGCTGAGGCTGTCGCTCCCCGTCCGTCCTCGTCCTCCCCTTCGTCGTCGCCCAGGCATGCCACGCGCGAGGCTGACCTGTACAGAGGTTTCAAGCATCTTGCCACGGAGTGCGCACACTGGGCAGCCCAGCTCGAGGTCCATCCGCAGTCGGCTTCGGAAAAAAGGGTGCAGGCTAGACGCTGTCGGCCTCGACCCCGCGCAGGACCACAGTGTGCCTGTTGTTGCGGAGCTGCCACCGCCAGAGCCGGAACCCGAGCCAGGCGATTCGAAGGAGTGGGGGGACGGTGTGGACGCTGGGGTGGAGGCGTCGAGGGCTGAAGGATTCGATTGGTCAGACGTGGCCACTTTGGATTTCTATCTGAGTGGACACGCCCTGATGCGATGTGAGATCGGGGCCCCGTCACCTACAGAGGTGCCAATCATGTTTTGTGCCAAGTCCGGGGCCTACTGTGAAGGTCGTCGCCCAGTTGACTTGCTTCGGGCTGCCTGCAATGGGCACCCTTGGTCAGCCCAGGCGAAGTGCGAAGGGCCAACTCAAGAGAATCCGCTGGTGCAAGCGCCCGCGCGACCGAGCACCATCCAAACATGTGTGTTTATCGGGCTCGCGTGGGCTCAGTTCTGCGGGGAGGAATTTCGCATCTGTCAGGTCAGTCTCCCTTTCTGGCCC